AAAAAAAGAATATTTATCCATCAAACCCAATTCTGGATCTCGGGTGTATCATATTTTAATCCTTGATGAAAAATAACGTGAGGTTCAAAGACTTTTCTAAAAATCAAAACCTTCATTTGAAAGGTTATCAGCAGCGGCTTTCTAAGAGGCCATGCTTTTCAAAACCGGACCAAACCATTCAGACCGGAAAACCTGAGAACCAGTCAGTTAACCGGTTATTTACCATAAAATCTCTTTTGGTCAAAAACTCTTGATTTAATCAGCGATCCATTGATTCGAGTGATCAAATCATTGACTCGAATAATGATTTTTTAGCTATTATTTATTTATTTATTTTAAGTCAGAATGGGTCATTCGTTCAAACTGGATGATCACTGTTCAACCTGAAAACTGGTACCCATAACGGTTCTTTGTCCTGTCTGATTTTAAAATCATTGATTCTAGCAAGAAACAGTTGCACACGCCATTCTTTATTGCAAAGGAAGTCAAGCCTATTTGGTTTGCCTCCATTCTTCTGCATTCTGGTTGATTCAAGGAAGGGCAAGTCCTTGAAAGATTGGCTCTCACTGTGATTACAAGACTGCTCTTTTCAAAAGATTACTTGCATTGCATCTTCTCAAACTTCTTCGCTATCTGCTAGTGTGTTTGGTTGAGGCACAATGTTTTGATTTTTTGAGAAATCATTGACTGATTCCTTGATTGTGGTATTTTGCTTATGAAACTCAATGGTGTTTAAGGTGCAACTCAGGTTCGACTTAGCATTTTATATTGTTTGGGATTTAGGCCTATTGGGCCATTTAAATTTTGACAAAAGCCCAATCCAAAAGCTGCAGCCTAAGGGGAGAGAGAGAGTTGTCCCTTTATGAATCGATCACACCATTTACAGTTTTCACCCAGAATAGTGTTAAGGCGTCGGTACATGAACCAACTATAGGCTACACCGTGAATGTTCTCCCGTTTGCCACTAGGGTGCCATTTGGCAAGCATTTTTGAAAGACCTTCCAGCAGACTTAATAGCTAAAAGATGATGTAAGCTTTTTTCATTAAAATCTTAGCAGTTTAAAGACCGTTCCATTTGAAGTTTCTTGGGGCATCATCTTTTGACTATATCTTTTCCCAACCAAACTGAAAAGACCAAAACATGGGTTGTCGGGATTCTAAACAGTTCGCGTGAAAAAACACACCAAATAGGGCCTAGGTAAGACATGATATGTGTGTCAATCCCAAATCTCACCCCAGGTGTATTTTATATTCTAAAACACATGGTTTTTAATAGGGGTGTTCACGGGTTGGGTTGGGTCGGTTTCTTGGGATTTTTCCAACCGACCCGACCTGGTCGGGTTAGCTAAGGTGGGAACCGAAACTGACCCACTGACAGGCCAAACTGACCTGGTCGGTTTGAGTCGGATTGGGTCGGTTTCGGTTTTGCTCCTGTACAAAGCCAAATAAAATTTGAATTAGTTGATAATTTGATATTCAAGAGTCCAAAATAAATCTAAATTTAATTCAGGTAAAGAATAAAATCAATAAATTCTTCATGTAAAAACAAGTGTCAATAATGGGCCTTCTAGAGTAAAAAACTAGGTAAATCTAGGTAGGTAAATCAATAAAATAAAAATTTAGAAACCTTCTAAATTCTAATCTAGGTAAAAAACTAAAAAATGACACCTAATTGAATTCTAATTGTAATTGCCTAATGGGCCTTCTAGAGTTCTAGTTCTAGTAGAAATCTAAAAGTAGAAGACTAGTAGGAATTAGGAAACTACTCAAACTAGGAAGTAGGAACTATCGACCCGAGATTTCGGTTTATGTATGTGCCCAACCTGAAACCGATCGGTATGGATGAAAACCCGGCCGACTCGGGTTGGGTCGGTCTGGGTTGGTCGGTTTGGTCGGGTTGGGCATTCTTATGAACATCCCTAGTTTTTAAAACCGAGCCAGAGACCGAACCGGTCAAGGGTCTGTTTATCGGGTCGAACAACCTGATTGTTCGAACTGAACGGTCGGTCCATTCTGACAAAAAAAATAAAAAATGGTCAAAACCGTTCGAATGGTTTGAATGGTTAATCACTTGGGTCAATAGTTTGCTGACCAAAATCAACGATTTTTGGAAAAAATCTGGTTTTGGAGAAAAACGAAACCAATCACCTAACCGATTCCCAATTTTCCGATCCAACCATCCAGTCCAATTTTGAAAACCATGCTAAAACAAACCTGAATTATCAATTGAAGGATGGATTGTTGGTATGTTAGCTGATTCGTTTCAGAATTGACGCAGAATCAATTTCTGCAACCACCGGTTTGGGGAAGGGGATGGTTATTAGTGGTGTGTGGCACCAATGCGAAAAAAAAAAATCTGAATTTGAATCCCATATGTATCTAACTTGCACTCTTCTCATTTGTTTTCCCGTGTATTTGAATTCCATGAATGGAACCCGAAATTTCGCATGGGTGAAAATTAGGTAACCAATTTGAAGTATATATATTGCACTGGGCCTTGGGCCTGGGCCCCAGGATGGGCTCATTCAAACGTTAACAAATAATCCCTTTAAATTCTAACAAATACTCTTTCTTTTTTTTTTTTTTTGGGGGGGGGGGGAACAAATACTTCCATTGGGTCTATCTAATATTTACATGAAGGGAGATTCTCCATTGGAAGCAATATGAAGTCCTTGCAAATTCGAATCGTTGTTTTGGCTCAATTTGGAAATAGTATAAATACAAATATGTATACATACAAAATAATATAAAATGCAAGGTTTTGTATTTTGGGTATATGTATTTGTATTATTTTTTCACAAAATCTTGTATTTTATGTTATTTTGTATGTATTTGTATTGTATTTATTTGTATTTGTACTCTTTCTAAATTGAGCATTTAGAAATTTTGATTGTAGGAGTTTTAAGAAATCCAAACCATCACTAATCTATTTTAATTCATGTCTAACTATTAAATTATTAAGAGTCCATTTGGTTTATAGGTGGAATTGTAATCGAAATCCTTTAAAATTGGAACCAGAATGGTTTATTCTTATAATCTATTTGGTACCAGAACTAAAATGAGAATTGAAATCAGCTGGAATGGGATTTCATTCTCATGGAAAAGGGAGGGAATGATCATTTCCGCAATGGGGAATGAGAATGGAATTCTGATTTCGTCCAACCAAACAACTAGAATTGAAATGATCCATTCCGATCTAATTCCACCCTTATTCCTGCAAACCAAATGGGCCCTAATATTGAGTACCAAACCTCTATAACCTAAGTTTGAAAACCAATTTGTGTTTGAATTGGCCTCTCTGAATTTCCATTTTTTTTCTTTTTTTTTTTGAAAAGACTATCGATGATAATTTTGAAATCTCTTTACGGGTAGATTTGCACCAAATTTCTTGGGCTAGAAAGTAGGCCCCAGCAGCCTATGCTTATATTTGCACATATCCATTTATCTATCTCTTTACGGGCTTAACGTTTCTGTCTAAATTCGGCTCCAGTTAGGGTAAAGCCCATTCCAGCAGCCTTGCATTTGAGAATTTATAGTTGATAAGGGCAATTTTTGGGTCTTATTTTTTAACATGATTTTTAAAATAGTGCAACTTTTTCTCTTCCACCTCCTCCTCCTCTTTTGAGATGCAATGAATTCTTCTTCTGAAACAGTTGAATAACACATGAAACACCACACCAATAAATCTTGTGGTTGGCTACCGCCTCCTCTTTGCTTCGTTGTTAGCGTCTTAGCAATTTATCTCCTTCTCCCTCATTTGCCTGTTTGGCTTATTAACAATTTGTCCACCTTCCAGGGGTTAACAAACTATGGACGTCTAATGAGTTCCCTGGCTACAAGAACGAGTCCATTCTCAAACCAGCTTGCAAGCTCTGGAAATCAGCACGAGTGGAGATGCCAACTCGAGTCCCTGGCTACTCACCAAATTAAGATCATTGCCATTCTTTGCAAAGATGACGTAGAGGTTGTCCAAACTTGTGGAACTGCGCCTATGGCGGTTCTCAATTCTTCTAACGATGTTTTGGCTCGTAACAGGAGCTTTGCCATATGGAACCATCCAGGTGGAACACCCATTGTGAGTCACACCAACGAAGCAAGTATGCTTCCTCGCCTTGTGACATGGCAGAAGTCGGAGGATATTGCTTCCAAGATCTTGTTTTCCACCAAGTGAAAGATGCGGAATTGTCCGTTCACGTTAAGTTGGGCAAGAAAAACCTAGCTGGAAAACCCAAGCTCTAATACAATCTCATCTGTAAACTGTCTAACCTCCATTCCTTGAAGAAAAGCCCATCTGATCGAAGGAATCTCGACAACCACGAGAACCAGACACTCTTCACCACTCACCAGATGTTGGAATTGTGGATACAGGTATCTTGGGAGCTTCTTCGACGAATCGAAGAATGAATCAATGGCTAGGAATTCGGAACAGCAGCAAGCTACTGCTGGTTATTCAAGCAAGTTTGGAAGCTTTTCACAGAGTAGAAGACCTTTACCTTTTTATAGATCCAGAGGGTTTTCTCCGCCTGAAGAACCAACTTGCGGTTAATGCTTTGATAGAATCCGAAGCCTTTTACTTCCGGTCCAAGGCACTGATTGAAATAACTAAATCTTCAAAGTATTTGAAGCAGAGGGTTCCGATAATTTTGGGCATGGAGGTGGATCCGAAAGGAGGGCCAAAGGTGTAGGAAGTGGCGATAAAATTCTTTCATGGCCATCGAAAGGAGTAAGAGGTAGGGAGATTTGTTTGAAGGGAATGAGACGAACAATATTTTTATTATATTTTTGATATATATATTTTTTAAATTATCTTATTTAAAAGTTCATTTTTATTAATAAAAAGGCCCCAAAGTTGTTCATATCGACGCCGATCGTTTTTGAGACCGAATCTGTTCCTCACAACTGGCGCCTCACAAATACATTCACGGAAGATGCTCCCAAATGCATGCTGGATGTGCATGTGAGGCGCCTATTTGTGAGGAGCAGATTCCGTACAAAACAAACATTTTTAAGAAGTTTCTTATATCTGGAATGGACTTCTGGGAGGGAAGACCACCCAATTTCTCTCCTTTTCTTTTTTAGCCGTGCTTCCAGAATTCCAGTAAGAATAATGTCTCTCCTTCATCTTCCTCCTCCTTCCCCTTCTCGTCTCACTTCCTTGAGAAATTCATTCTCAGTTATCACTCTTAATTCTCTCCGTGTGTCCTCTCAACGCTGCCGTTTCAACCAGTCCCGTCTAACTCTCACCCCGACCGCGAGCCTTACCGTCGATTCCCATTCCCCGACGACTTCATCCGGCAGAGGCAGCACGGAGGAAGGAGACTCTCCGAAGGTTCTGCTTGAGGTCAGGGACCTGACTGCTGTCATAGCAGAATCAAAAGCACAAATTCTCAAAGGCGTAAACCTCGTAATCCGCGAGGGAGAGGTAATCAGATTCACAGACCATGGACTATGATGTTAACTGTTCTCACATGTTTATTTACTGCTCATGTCATCAAGAGTTGGTTTTCGCCAATCGAGAGACTATTTTAGCACTACTTCCTCCAAATTCGTGATTTTTTTTTTTTTTTTTTTTTTTGCGAAAAAGTATTGATTTAATACATACATACCGATATAGTGGATGGAGAACGATTACATTTAACTTTTTTATACTAGACTATGGTAGGACAACAAGAAACTTTCCACTAAGTTCGTGTGTTAAATGACAGCAGATAAACAGTTCAGACAACTAACAGCAGCCACCGCACAATAGAATATCGGAATTTTTAAGTGGAAAACCCCACGGACCCACAGGTTTACAAACATCAAGAAAATAATCCTTGACTCACAAGTACAACATTAACATCACCAAGTATAATGTGGATTCAATAAAAACAAATGTTTGGATTTCATCGAGTTGCTATAAATATGAAATTAAGAAAAAGAAAGGGAAAGACAACCAATTTGAACTATAGTGAGATTCTTAACTCTTTGAACAACACTGAATCACATCAAGAATGGGCTTGAAAACATATTCGAGCTTGGCCTTGAATGGAATAGAAACCAACTCTTTCTTCTCTTCTTCACAAAACTCAAAAACCCTCTGTGCCCACTGTTTTTCTTCTCTCTTTCTCACTTCGGTGGTTACGAAATGGAAGCATACAAAATCAAAAAAGGTGGGAGCCTTTTTGGTTTCCACAATACGGCTCCTTTTTGGGAGTATGAAAAGGGGGGGTGGGCCCCTCATATGGATTGGGCTCACACCCAACAATTCTCCCTCTCCAGTTCATATGGGGTACTTTACCAAGCTTGCAACTTTTTTGTAAAATTCAAATTTGTCTCTAGGCAAGGACTTTGTTAACATATCTGCACCATTCTCATTAGTATGAATTTTTTCAATATTCAGCAACTTCATATCCAATACATCCTGAATCCAATGGTTCCTTACATCAATGAGTTTGGATCTTGAGTGAAGAGTTGGATTTTTAGAGAGATGGATAGCACTTTGACTATCACAATAGAGAACATATCTTTCTTACTTCTTGCCTAATTCTTGTAAGAACTACTTTAATCATAGGATCTTCTTACAAGCTTTTGTAGCTACAATGTGTTCTACTTCTATGGTGGACAATGCAACACACATTAAGTTTGGATTGCCATGAAATTGCTCTTCTTGCAAAAGTTATTAAATATTCTGAAGTGGACTTTCGGTAGTCAACATCACTAGCCATGTCTGCATTTGTATACCCATCCAACATGACTTTACCATTCATGAAGCATAAGCATATCTGAGAAGTACCTCTAAGATACCTGAGTATCCATTTTACTGATGTCCAATGTTCTTTGTCGGGTTTAGATAGAAACCGACCAACTATACCAACAACATGAGCAATGTCTGGCCTCATGCATACCATAGCATACATTAAACTTCCAACTGTTGATGTGTAAGACACTTTCTTCATTTCTTCTTTATCTTTCTCACTTGTAGGACATTGTTTAGTGTTGAACTTGAAATGACCTACAAGTGGAGTAGTAACTAGTTTTGCATTACTCATGTTGAATCTTTCAAGAACCTTTTCAACATATTTTTCTTGGGATAACCATAACTTCCCATTTTGTGTGTCTCGAGAGATCTTCATACCAAGAAAATGTTTAGCTGGTTCCAAGTCCTTCATTGCAAAAACATTCTAAGCTCCTTTTTCAACCTATCAATCTTGTTAGAATCATGATCAACTATCAACATACCATCAACATAAAGTAAGAAAATAATGAAATCACCATTAGAAAATTTCTTTACAAATACACAATGATTTGAAGTGGTCCTGGTGTACCCATGATCAACCATGGAGTCAAATTTATTGTACCATTGCTTTGGTGCTTGTTTAAACCCATACAAGCTTTTCTTTAACATGCACACAAAATGTTCTTTGCCTTTCTCTTTGAATCCCTCTGGTTGCTCCATACAAATTCCTTCTTCCAAATCACCATAAAGGAAGGTAGTCTTCACATGAAGCTGTTCAATTTCTAAATTTAGACTTGTAGCTAGTCCAAGTACAATTCAAATAGAGGAAATTCTCACAACAGGAGAAAATATTTCTTCCAAGTCGACACCTTTTTTTGACTAAAGCCCTTCACAACCAACTTTTCCTTGTATTTTAGTTATGAGCCACTCATCAGATTTCAATTTGTAAACCCATTTATTTTTGAGTGCCCTTTTCCCCTTTGGTAATTTCACCAAGTCATAGGTATAATTCTTATGCAAAGATTTTAATTCCTCTTGCATTGCTTTCAGCCACTCATTTTTTTTGCCAAGTGACATATACTCTTGATAAGTCTTTGGCTTTCCTCCATCTGTCAACATCACATACTCATGTGGAGGATACCTAGTGGAAGATCTTCTCTCTCTGGTGGATTTTCTAGGTTGAACTTGTGGTGAAGAAGCTGGAGTTACTTGTTTATTCTATACTTCCTCTATATTTTCATTTACAGGAATTTTATCATTAACTACATCATTTTGTTCATTTGGTATAGCTTCCCCGTAGTCACTATAAACTATAGGTAGGAAAACTAGATCCAAGTTAACTAGAACATCAACATAGGATTTTGGTTTCTCAATTTTCTCTATATCTTCAATTGTTTGATCCTCAAGAAATACGTCTTTGCTTTTGATCACTTTCTTGTCCACTGGATCCCATAACCTGTACCTAAACTCTTCATGCCCATTAGCCTAAGAAAATGCACTGTTTGGCCTTGTCATCAAGCTTGGATCTTTCATCTCTAGGAATATAAACAAATTCCCTATAACAGAACTTTTTCAAATGACTATATGATATGCCTTTCCCTATCCAAACTCTCTTTGGAGTATCTCCATTCAAAGAGAAAGATTGATAAGGTCAATTGCAGTTCTCATAGCCTCACCCCAAAAAGATTTGGGTAACTTAGCATGAGAGAGCATACATTTGCTACTCCATTGTGTTGAGGAGTCTTAGGTACACTTTTCTCAAGCCTGATATCATGGATTCTACAACATTCTTCAAAAGGACCCCTATATTCATCACCATTATTAGCTCGGATGCACTTCAACTTTTTCCTTGTTTTTCTTTCAACTTTGGCATGAAAATATTTGAAAACATCCAATACCTGATTCTTAGATTTCAAGGCAAAGGTCCACACTTTTTTGGAGTGGTCATCGATGAATGTTACAAAATATAATGCACCACCAAGTGATCTATCTTTTATATGACAAACATTAGTGTGAACTAAATCTAAAACATGATGCCTTCTAGATGGAGGAAATTTATGAAATGCAATTTTACTCTGTTTGCCAACTAAGCAATGTACACAAGTTTTAAGAGGCAAACCTTTCACATCAAGAAGAAGATTTTCTCTAGAAAGTATCTGAAGCCATTTTTTTCCTCAAATGTCCAAGCCTTCGGTGCTAGAGCTTAATGGATGAATCATGAACTGCATTCACCTCTCTTTTGTTCAACCTTGCATCACATAAATGGTATTGTGCTTCTTTCCCTTTGCCACAATGAGTGAACCCCGACTGAGCTTCCATTTTCCATCACTGAAGGTGTTTGCATAACCTTCATCATCTAACTTGCTAGTGGAAATAAGATTTAAGCGGACATCAGGAACATGTCTAACATTTTTCAAAAGCAATTTACAACCGGTATTGCTATCTAGACAAATATCTCTCATGCCAACAATCTCGGATGCACCAACATTCCCCATACAACACATGTCTAAAATCACCTGCAGTATGTGGAACTTGGGTCTAAGAAGGGATTTGAGGGACTCAGACTTTGACACTATTTTGAGCCTTATTGCAACTCTTGATGACATTGTCTTAGACCCCACTAGGGCGGACTCTAGAATTTGGACACCTCCCAATGGCATTTTTTCTTGTGCTTCTTTCTTCAAAGTCTTAAGTCAGTCCACCAGTCCTACCTTCC